TGTGTTATACAGTCATGCATCCCTATTCAATTATAATCTAATTATACTGTTATTGCACTGACAAAAAATATTAATTATGAAAATCACTGATTTTAGTTTGTTTGTATTAAAATAATTTATATAAGCGTCATGTAACAATAATATGGTCCAAAAATTATTTAAAGTGTTAGAATGTTGGATAGCTTGGCAAACGTAGCGCTCGCGCATGCCAATTCATTATTTTTAATTCCAGAAGTGTTAAGTGATTTTATACTTTTAACAAAAATAATTATATTTTGGTGTATTTCAAGGACGACAGATTTAATTAATATTTCTAATATAATTATTTGCTTATTTTAGTTAATTCAACGCTTATTAAAAACAAACCATACAATTAATATAATAACCTAATATGACGAAACTAAATTGAATTGTGATTTGTGACTTACAGTCATACGTGATAAAATTTCGTGGTATTCTTATTCGAGTTTTATGTCTTGTGATATTATATTTTATTTACATTTTTAAACCATTTATTATTATTTAAATAAGCTAATAATATTTTCCAAAAAAAAGTACGATTTACGACTTTTTAATTGAGGTTAAATTTTTAATAGTCCTATACTCGTCATCGTCTCTACGAGTAACCGTTTAATTGATTAAACATTTTAATGACTTCAATATACTGCTCTAACGGAATCCTTTATCATATTACTAGTTACTACTATTATAGTAATCCTACGTCTACCTACTCGACACCTCCTACTATCACTTCCTATGACTACCAACTATAGTTACTACCAATTTACTGGGATACTATAATGCTACCGAAGATCTTATTATTAATAATAACGTTTCCGCAGATGTACGTCACAGTGGACTCTATAGTCGTCACAGTGACATGTAAATTTATTTTAAACGCCTAATCCTGCACGTTTAAAATGTACGACATTTTCGTTCTTCCATTTTGAAACCTTATTGTCGTTCACTTGAAACACTCAACACTTAATGTTTAATAGTTTTGTTTCCTCGTTAGATGTCTGCATTTTACGACGAGGATAGGATATTATACCACAGTGTTGTGGGGAAATGTAGACTATGACCAGTCCTGTAAAGTATTTGAGTAAAAGTATTTGAGTAAAAGTATTCAAATACTTTTTTAAGTATTGAATAACTTTTTAAATACTTTCAGCATGAAGTATTTTGAATGGTATTTTAAATACTTTTTTTTGTATTAAATACTTTTTGGTATTGAATACTTTGGTTTTTTATTTCGAACATTTTATTTTTATTCGAAATAATTTTAGAAATTTTAGAATGAATTAAGAACACAAAATAGGTAGTATCACCAATGGGTGGTTTCTTCCCTCAAAAGAAAAATCATACGCAAATACCCAATGCACATTTGGTTATTGTTCTAGTTAAGAACAGATTGTAAATTTCATGAAAAAATAAAAAAAAAATGTAATAAACATTTATTTAATAAATAATAAATAAAAATGATTATAAATTTACTACCTATGTGTCTATATTACAATAATTAGAAACCCACTTTAAAAACCAAAAGTTTTTGAAAAGTATTCCAAATACTTTTTCAAAGTATTTGAGTAGTATTTGAAATACTATACAATTAAAGTATTTGAGTAGTATCTTAAATACCTAAAAAAAAATGTATTTGAGTACTTACTCAAGTACTTTTCAAAAGTATTCTTTACAGGACTGACTATGACTTAATGTCAAGATGACTACCTATACAGGTCATAGAACAATAACGACCGGTACTGATTCGGGTAAAAATACCTAGTGCATTTTAATTTTCTTATCTTTTGTCGTCTGCCTCCAACACGTCATATTATTATATGCTACAAACAGTATAAACAGTTTAAACGCCCTTGATGATTAGCCAACCAACTCGAGCTGTTCACGAATTACGGGAAACGGAAGAACACTACACAGCGTAAAACGGATATCGGCGTCGTCGGGTGGTTTACGGGTACGACTGAAAAAAATAAATTAAATACAGACTAACATTGTACAATATTATTGGACGGGACATGAATGGGTAACGAACCGAATTCCTCGTTGTTTGTCGGACACGCACGCACACGGTCGCCGTCGTCCGAATTCGTAATCGGGAGAGAAATAATAGCATTACAAAAAATGACATTCGAATTATTATAATACATGTATATATATATTGTATATTATAACATCTACCGATTGTGTTATTCTTTTTACTATTATTATTACTGTAGTCGTACATTTGTCTTTAGGCTTTGTATTTTTGTATTTATTTATTGTTCATTATTCAACACGCCGCCCGCCGCACATGGGTACACGATACACGAATAATATATAATACTCCCCTACGGAGAATAGACCGTTGAATTATGCATTTTCTAGGTACCAGCTATCATGTGTGAGCGGGTATGACACGAATGGGGTTAGGTACTATTTCGGTGAAAATTAAACAATAATTCATAAGATGCGTGTAAAAAGCTTTTTTATTGACGCAAATTATAGAAAATATCGAAATAAATAATACAAATGAACAAAAGAGGTATAAAAAGACACAAAATCAATAATGTCAAAAACCTCAAAATAGAATTGTTTCAATATTGAATTTATTAGTACCTAATTCAAACGTTTAGTGTTGTGGAGGTTATATCTTATATGGTAAACTAAAAATAATCCATTTTTTCTACAAATCCATAACTTTAATAATAAAATTGCTATATTATACGGTGTGTACTGCATAATATTAATAATGTGGGTTCGAGTATTTCTGTCCGTACGCTCCATGTTTCGGAGTGTGACGGGTTAATTGAAACGTCGAAAAGCAAACAGCCCGAGGCGGCGGCGCAGGATCTCTACGGACGTATTGTATTAGTGATTGTTAAATGGTGAACGGCATAAGTGAATAACCAAACGCTGCCACTTAAGATACGATATCCGCCCGTGGTTTAAACCATGCCGGGGTACCATTTTGGGAGGGTGTACTGTTACATTACCTACTTTGTAATACTCAATATTAAATAAATAATCCTTCAACCCCATACGCATACATATACATTAAATACGACATGTAATAATTACTAAGATGACGAATAAGTATCCTGACGATGAATACAATATTGGTCCACTTAAAATGTTGGCACCTTTATAAAAGCGCACACTCTATGGCACCACTGCAGCTTTATGTACAGTAGTTACATTATGGCATTTGCGGGTCGTGCAACTAAAATATGCCCATATACATATATGTAGATGCACGATATTGAACCGAAAACATTCTTCTAGTCTAATGAAAAAAAATATAGTTTTATAAGTATACAATATGGTGTATAAATGCCTCGTGAGACCACTATATGTATATTATGTTTACTAATATAATTCCTAAATACATGCCAAACGACCATTTTGTAATTTTAGTCACTTACCGCCAGATGAAATTCTTTTAAACCCGATGGTATAGTGTTGGCCTATACGCGTTACATCGAAGTAACGTGGAAGGAATAATATTTTATAATATAATAGGTAGGTACTTCATATTTCCCTTTCGCACGTAACACGTGACGTACACATCCTTCTATCATTTCTCCGACTATACGCCTGTTTATCCGGTAAAATATATTTGAAGAAGCAATGTGACATTTCCCATAATATAATATTATTATGTTCAGATGTTCAACCTATATAGTTTATGGTAGTTATACACTATTATACCATTTACGCATAGAAATATCATACTATAAACGTTTAAATGTTTAATGGAACCTGCCGCGGCGCCGCATAAACACCAGAACAGACGGATAAAAACCAAGAATTATAGGTTCTTTATTAGCTATTAAAATTCACGATTTTCGATAAATATTCGTATGTTAATAATTGAGCAATTCCAAATTATAATTACACTTCATAGCGACCAAATATCAGTTTGTAAAATCGCATTTTTATTACGCATATAAATTTGGTGGTTTGAAATCTTCAAATTCATTTTTATTGCGTATAAATTATAATGAAATAAAAATAAACATGTTTTTTTTCTCAGAAAACAATATTTCATAATAACATAATATATGCTTATAATATATATGCGTTATAATATTATGTGAAATTCCTTATAATTTTTTAGACCCTCGCTTATAAAATATGTACACGACTATATAACCAGATGTGACATACATAATTCTCTTGACATTAATTCACTAATATTTTACTGTTTCAAGATTAAACTAGAGATGTTCATTAATAACGTCCAATATCTCCTGTCAGCTCTATGTATCAGAAAAACAAATTCAAGCTGTGCGCACTGTGAGAAATCATATTAAATCTCACCATAAAACCATCAAGTGGAAATAAATATAATATAGTAGCACCAGAAAACATAGACATTTTGATGAATTGTGCATGCGTTAAAAAATATATTTCATATAATTATCTCGTGTTATATGAATTATTATTATTTTAAGATATTAGATATAGTAGAAACAACATAAGACAGATTGAATTTATTATTTATTTTTAAATAATTTTGTATTATAATAAAATAAAAATTAGAAATATTTCTTTAATTGTCGTTTAGAAAATATATTATATACTAAATAAAAAACATTTTTAAAACATCAAATAAAAATAAACAAGGTACGATTTTTATTAGATATTCAATAAATTTTAAAAGAATGTTAATTTTATCTTCGTATACATCAAGTAGGTATACTTAACTATAGTAAGTTATGATTTTATAAAACAGCTGCCATTATAGGATTATAAATTTATAACTTTATGTTATTTTATGAATTCTGATAACAATCTATCATAAAATAATATTATTTAATGAGTACGGAATAATCGCGTCTAGCTATCTTTATATTATGTTCATAATAATGTTGATTTATATAACTTAGAAATTGAATTAATATTTTTTAATGTAGAATAATAAGTATATTGTATATTAGTATAAAATAGTTTCATCTTGAATTCAGATCCATAATATTATTATTATTATCTTTTTTTTTCAGTTGGCTGTTTTACAAGAATACCCAAAAGACAAAATAGCTGGACGGATAACCGATTTTTATAATCAATGTTCCTCAAAAAATGTGAGTATATATTTGGTTTTAAATATTAAAAAATACATCAAATATAATTATCAGAATAAAAATTTGCAGAAAACAAAATTGAAATAACAATATAATATTATATTTTGATACATGTTTGGTACCAATACATTTTATTTTAAACAATCATTTAGAAAGTTTTCAAATCCAAAAATTCGAACACAAATAACGACATAGCAATATATCATCCGTTTCCGTTGAATAATAATATAAAATCATGTAAATAACAAATACATTTTAAAGTGAAAATACTGCAGCGGTGTAACGTACTTTTATCTGATGTTCCGTCGAGTTTCGGTCGGTGTGCGGCGGGGAACGATGATGTCTCCGTATTTAAACCAGTTGTCGTGTATAGAGGTAAAAAAAAAAAAAAAACTACAGGATATTTTCCCTATAAACGAATATTGAGATTGGAATAAAGACAAAATAAAAAAACAAACAAACAAAAATGGAAAACTGGTTGTTAAAAAATAATAATAATAATAATACAATTTTGCCTCCGAATTGACGACAACAATATTGTAATAATATCGTCGCGCGATATAACCGTTGGTGTTTACACGCATTATACACGCCCACGCAGGGACCATTATTGTATATATATATATAAATATATGTATTATAGAACCATATTGTACAGATACCTACTCTACTGTAAATAATATAATATTGGAGTCATTTCGGATAAATCGCGTTCCAGACACACTCGCACGCACAACACGTGTGTGTAATCCGACCCGACTCTTGGGGTGCATACCTCCTACACATGGTCCGTTTAATCCGACACCGGTGCAGTGCACATATACATATATAGCATATATGTATAATATACACACGTATAATCCGCCGGCAGGATCTGACTCGTTTTCTGAAATGTGTCTTTTTTTCCCCTCTTCGGCGTCTGTCGTGCGTGTAATGCTCGCATTCAATATAATATGCGAGCACACCAAAATAAAGTGAATATTATAATTCAATATACCTATAATAATAATTATATACGACGATACGCGCCTCCCGGCTGCGGAAAAATGAAATGATTACCTACTGCAATACTAAAATGAATTACTTTTATAGCAATAATAACATGAAATATACTTAGTACCTAATAAAGCCCTGACAAACCATCTTCTTTCAGAATCGATTTTCGAATGCAATGATCTATCATTGAATTCAAATTTAACACATCCTATCACAGTGACCCAATCGACGTCTACTGTACAGCTGCAGTGTGGTACTCATTTGGGCTCATATTTTTTCTTTAAATTGTCAATCAGATGACTTTTTGAAAATGTTGATGTATCTAATGGAAATTCGAAGTAGTTCATGAGTTAAATAACCTTGTGAGTTAACTTGTCGTTAGGTATACATCCATGATAATGGATTTGGAAGAAATCGGGGCTATAATGATTTTAAAATGTTATTAATTAATATTAATTCATGAACATTTTATAATTTCAAAAAAATGTCTGAATACCTAGGTATAATGAATAGTAGATCCTGCAATATTACATACATTTTAGTTTTCAAAACCCACTCTGAAGGACGGTCATCCTTAATATATAATATAATATGCATTTTAATAACTCAGAAACTATCGGTTCAAATTTTTATTTAGTTACCTACATTAACATTTTCAAAAAACCGAACTGCTTAATAATTTACATAAGAATGATGGTCGGTTCTCATTTGAAAAAAAGAAGTTTTTATAAGGTATGAAAATATGGTCCCTGCATAAACTTATAAGTTATAAATATTTGAATTTGAATAAATTCTTTATTATGGAAAAATGACGGGGGTGAGTATGCTTGCAGGTGGTAAATCATGTAAAACGATTTTTTTTCTTTCTTTCTCGAGCCCCCCGAACGGGCCACAATACGCTCGCTCACACGCACGCATAAAATATACATGTATACGTAATATTATATACTTGGCGTATTTATGTATGCATATATATGTATATCAGTACGCCGGGCATGAGCGGTATACGCGACGTGATAAATCGACTGGGCTGCCACACACGCGCACCGGGCGCCCGCAATCTTGATGACCACTTATCCTTGTCACCGGTGTCGTGATTTAAAACAACACTATATAGGCTACCTATATCGTAAACACTGCACACTGGCGTATAAATATATATTAAAATATATGTGCGTCCATACGTATATATCCAGTGTGTATTTTATGCTCATGATGCCGTCTGGTGCGCACGAGTTATGGTGTATCGACGCTAGAGAGAGAGAGAGAGAGAGAGAGAGAGTGTGTGTGTGTGTGTGGTGATATCAACACGAGAAACGACGCGCAACTATCATAAAATTAAAAACCGCGGGAGTCCGTCTGGTTCTCACGACGAGCACCTCCACAGCCGCTGTGATCGTCTGTATATACGTCTATTATATATCCTCGTCAAAATATTCCTTGTCGGATGTCCAGTTCATAATATTATATTATTATAACGTGTTGTCTGTATACAGCCATTATCTACCCGAAATGAATATATTAATATATTAATATATTCTTTATTAAAATCAACATTCGGAAACGCTAATAAATATATTCTATAATACACATAGGTTGTGACTTGTGATGATTAACGCGAAGAGACGCTCGTTTGAATAATAACGATGCATTATCGAATCAAAGATAAAATAATATATTTATATAGGTATATACCAAAATAAAAGACGAATCCACAGGTGTGGAAGGATATTAAGAGAAATGGCAAATGTGACGCTCTCTAACTTCTAAGGGTAGTTTGAAAATGTTTCACTACCATTACGACAAAACGTACTTTCTTATCGAGTGGAGTTATTCATGATGGAAGATCGTGACATTTTATACAGTCTTACGCTGACATGGACCGGTACAACAACCATAGCGTATTATTGTGCGATCGGGTTACTGAAATTTACGGAAAATTCGGAAAATTTTTAATTCGTCGGTGACGCGTATTGGACAAGCGAATACTTTAAAATCGTATAGAGTATTTTGCTGCAGTAAGCGTAAATAGTAAAAACTACGATGTTGCACGACTATATAATATATCATTATTACAGAGAGTAATGAATATTATACTCACCCGCCCTGTCGGCTGTCAAGCGGCGTCAATCACGCCGTCGTTGTCTTCTATACACCTGCAAACTACACAATAATATAATATATGTATTCGAATTTTTTTTTTATTCTTTAAACATTTCTGCAAATCCGTCCGTTTGCGCATCCCGTTACGTTAGCTTTTTTTTTTCTTTTGCGATTTCTCCGACAGCCACGAATCAATGGACGAATGCCGCGCCAACGCGCCGCTATATCGATGTACAATATATAATAATATAATACCATATTATAATATATTATTATAACCGGCAGCAATAATAATGGAACGCATTCTCTATTCACGTCACTATCTCATTGCTCTTGACGACGACCGCTGCAGTTGTAGGTATCGCCCATTATTATTATTATCATTTGACACACAAACGATTTTCGCCCTATATATATATATATATTAATATTGTATTGCGCTCGCATCCATCTCGTCAAACTGCGTTGCGCGCGACCATCGATAAACCAGACACATTACACCACACTGCACTATGATGGGAGAAGATCACGATCTGTACCCACACAACCCACATAATAAAACGTCCCGCGGATCACTGTGACACGTTACTACAACAATTCCACCGCCGCGTAATACGAAACGTGGTCGACGCGAAAATTCGTTCGTCGCGATATTGTTACACTGTTGCTTTCAGCGTTTTGTCGGCGGTTTGGATAGGAGTCATTATTCAAGGGGAAAAAAAACAATAAACGGAGTGGGTTTATGTACCTACTTACGCGTTTCTCTCGTCCGTTTTGGAGACGCTACTAAACAGGTACGTATATAACGAACAAACGTCGCGGGACATGCAATAAAATTAAGTAGGTACCGTGCCGTAAAATAACTCTCAGCGGGACGTTTGGGGTTAGGCCCGCCAGACGCGCGCTTCACGTCGGTCTGGTGCACGTGACGAGGAGTCCGCGGGGGTGCACCTTCTGCAGCGGGGCATGTCGACATCGTAATTCATTAATCTACTTCAAAAAAAGTTCCGTGATGGTAATCTTTGGGCCCTTCGGTCCGCGAAAAAAAAATAAAAAATACCTTCTCGGGACAGTGGCGATAAATATGTTTGATTTATTAACGAGATATACCACCAACACCCGTGCGGTTATGTATGTGAACAGTCCGTGTACCTATTCCGACCGAGTAGGGAGGGGGGAGACATAGGGTATGCCACTGCCAGTGTTTTCAAAACAAACATTTCCGATTTATTATATTATTATTATATGGTGCTATGGGTGATATTACGAGATTTTGTAATGACGATAATACGCAGTAGGCATAATACAAGTACGTATAACCTTATGTCGTTTCGATGTCCTGCGTTCCGTGTATTTTATAACGTTATATTATATTTATTTTCTCATCTGCCCGGCAAAAACCCACGCGAGTGAGTTATATCACAGCAATAAATGTGTCGTCTGGAAGACCTGGTTTTTAAAATTTTTAATACCTGAAAAACGAGTGTTTTAAAATACCTCGATGGCCATAATGATATATAATAATATATTATACGACCTTTTTATAAATTATATAAGAGATAAAATAAAAGATAATATTGTAACGTGTGAATCTTCCCGAATTGTACGCGTAACGGAAATAATAATATAACGGTGACATCCCACCCATCACACCATTGAAATATTCGTCGAGAACGTTTATTACAATAGATATATCTAGACGGCTATTTATATAGTACCTATACTAAGATGTTCAATAATACATTAATACACGATAATGGATTTCAACGTTAAATAGTGTGTAGGCACGTGTTTTTTATGGTCAATAAATTAAAAGGAGTCGCATGGTGAATATACAATACTCGTAAATACACTTCCGTATTTTATATGATCACTCAATAACAGTCAGTGTATTATTATTATTTATTCCGTTTATAAATTACATTCAATTTTCGTACATTTATTAATATCATTATGTATAATGTGTGCACAATGCTTGTGCGGTATACTTCGCTATAGGTACAAACATTTTCAACGAATGTTTCATATTTTTAATTTTTAAATTGTGCTTTATCACTTGCAGACAATTTTATCGTAGCTGCCGGCGTTTTACTTGTGATGATTAATTTCTTTTAATCTTGTCCCAATTGTGTATTGTACATAATATTATAGTCGCTGAATATTTAATTTTAAATTTTACAACTAACTTCAAACAATGTTTACTTATTATATCGTGTCATATTATACCTCCTTATATTAATCATACCTGTATACGGATACCTTCATAATTATTAATTTTATAAATTTATTGAAATAAATATTTTGTTTAACACCTTATTTTGACTGTTATTGAATTATAATGGCGAAAAACGTTTTCAAAAGATATTACATGAATATGTTAAAATATTTATTGTGGTCGTTGAAATCAACTTTTATTATTTCCTACCTATACACGTGTAAACCCGTAATAAATGTCGGCTAAAAAATAAAATTTAATTAAAAATAATCAAAACAAAGAACAGTCATAATTATAATTATTTGGTATATGATATATAATATATTATACTATACATCCTAATGAATTCCGACGTAGGATACCCGATCCTTTATTTCGTTTCGGGGTAAACTGTATATATGGTCGTCCTTAGACCCTTAACAAAAAAAACTAATAGTAATAATAATAATAATAATAATAAAAATAAATACAAAAAACAAATCCCAAGACCACTGCTGCAGACAGACGGCGGAGGATTATCCGAGTGAGTCCGCCACCGTTCGGACATCTGTTATTTATTATTTGTTCGTCATATTCCTGCAAGATATCTTATAATATATGAGTATATATTATGACCCTATCCCCCACACTTGAGACAAGTATATACTATATCTATATAATATTCACGAGTAAGCCGATATTCCCTTCGCGTATTGTAGCAGGTATATTATCTATCTACATCAGACTTTCTATTAGTTTAGACTACAAAAATTGTAATTAAATATGTATAGTTTACCCAGTAGATAGGGGTACCCTATACGTACGTAACGTTAATTTTAAACTCGAGGTGGTGGCCCGACTCCTCCGATAACTGATAACCTCCGATAATGCTCTTAAATTCCCCAATAATAACGTTATCGAAAATAACACAGCTGCTTGCATATAATATATTATACGAACAATTTTTATGGTACGATAATAATATAACAGGGCGTAAAATGTTATATTTAAATGTTTTATTATAAAAATAATTTTAATTTTTAAAAATTGGTAAATTTGTCAAACGTCTAATTGAAAATTACGTGTAAAACTGGGTCACCACTAACCAGTCACCGCTGTAGTCACAGCTCCAGATTCTTTTAGTATTATGTTCCCAAATATATGGCAATTGCTTGCAATTATTGGTACCTAAATAATATGATCAAATGTATATTATTAATTATTGTACGTAATGTATATTGATAGAACGTTTGTATTTTTTGTTCTCAGGTCCGACACGTTGAATGGTGTATGTCGTCTTCGGCTCAAGGTAAATCGACTATATATAATGAGGTATTTGGGTAATAAATAAAAACAGTGTAAAACGTCGTAACATCGGAATATTATATACATAAAATGATTATATAATAAATATGAACATGCGTTAATTTTTCACCAAATATGCAAAACTGAGGTGATATTTTTTTCAATGAAGATTACTATTTATTTAAATAAGATGTAGAAAAGAAAAAAATTAAAAACTAAATTAATGAAAAAATTAATTGCTTTTTTCTTCGGATTTTGAACTGTACTTGATTTGCCGAAAAAAAAACCGGAAATCGCTCTTTATTTATCCTCAAATATCTAAAATTAAACGTAAAAATATGCTAAAATGTCTGCGATTAAAATCTATATACGTGCAGTGATAAAACCGGATTTCTTTACGAATTTATGAAGTCATATAAGTCAAGTCAGGCCTAACTTGTACATATAATTTATAATATGATTTTGCTACACTGCGGCTACACCACACCATCGTACCCAAATTATAAGTATTAAATATAAAAAGTCGCTCAGCTGTACAGTAGGTTACAAGTGGGTAACCGTCACTGTATAATGGATGGTATTAAATTTGAATTCAATGAATTCTGAGCGGAGACAGTATGTCAGTCTAGGTATAAGACATATTATATACTTATCTATGGTATTAAAAAAAAAATAATTAATTTAATTCCAAATAAATTATATCACAATATCCATTAGGTACTTATAACGCATTATACATCAATAACGAACAGTGAAACTATCATAGATATATAGTAGTATACTTTAGAAGTTTCAAGTACCCACGAATAATATTATACAATCACAACAAAATAACTAAAATAGTTATCCTATGTTTTTTTTATGTAATTTCGTCCAAAGTTGAACTTAAAATGACTATAAAAATAAACTGTGCTTATGTATTTTTAGAATTTTTGGTAACGGAATTAACTACTTAAGTGGAATCTTGTTTTAAATTTTCAATCCTTAGATATAAAAGTTAAACATTTTATAAATTTTTAACTACAAAATAATTATTTAATTTTAAATTTGATAAATTTAGTCAAAATTCGCACTTTAAATGCTTATAAAAAAAAACTGTGGCCATGTATTTTTAATATTTTTCAACTGATGTTGTAACAATATATCAGGAGCCTTGTATTAAATTTTTACACTTTTTGGCCCAACAGATAAAACTTTATTGATATTCATAGAAAAAAAACTAAAAAAATTGAAAACTGAAAATGTCCGTAAACAGCTCAAAACGAGTCAAAATATTTTCAAAATTGTATGGTGTATAGGAAATGCTAATATAAACATTCAGTGAAATTTTCATGTATCTACAGTTATTCGTTTTTGCATTACAACAAAATAAGAAAATCGCTACATGAGAAATCGAGTGAATATCCAATGTTGTAAAAATTTGAATTTCAAACGCTCATAAAAATTTAATTTGACTTTCTTATAGACATTTATTTTTGATAAAGGTATATAATCTTATAAGGAATCTTGCATTAAATTTTAAAATCTTAGATATAAAAAGAAAAATATTTATGAATTCTTAACTCAAAATAATTTGTTAATTTTCGTGTTTTCTCCATATTCTGTCAAGATTTGAACATTAAATGTTTATAAGAAAAAACTGTGATTAAGGATTTTTAATATTTTTCATCTGCCTTTGAAACAATATACTAGGAGCCTTCCATTAAATTTTCAAGCTTTTTCAGCAAACAAATAAAATTTTATTGATATCTTTAGAAAAAAAACTAAAAAAATTTGGAAAATGAAAATGTCCCTAAACAGTTCAAAATAAATCAAAATAATTTGAAAATGTTATCGTGTATAGAAAATGCAAATATAAACAACCAGTGAAAATTTTATGTATCTACGCTCATTTTTTTTTTAAGTTACATCAAAAACCAAATTCAATTTTGTGAAAAATCGATTTTGCTTAAAAACTCCCGTTTTTCCTTAATTTTTCTTTTGTTAATATTGTCGCTTGTGAAAACTATTGGGAATTTTAAATTTTGACCTCCCAAAAGTACCAACGATATTCACTTTCCCATCGAACAAGATACTGAAGTTGAAAATCGAAGCATTATTTCGACTACTTATCGTGTAACACAAAAATATTATATAAGGGATTCTCAAAAAATATTTAAAAAAACATATTATCAATTATTTTTGGTGGAAATTGGAATATAACCTTTGGCGAGAAACGGACACTGTCATAAGTGGACGCGAGTGAGGATCATTTTGGTGGAAAATTGTAACACCACCCCCCTTCCCCCTCAAACAATATTGAAATAATTTAATGTATACGATAGACGTTACTACATTAGATATTAAGAATTAAGATATACGTATAATATAGCAATGTGGTATTATAGTCATTAGTAGTATCAACATTACGTATCTAATTAAGTAGGTGGTCGTGAGTGATTATTTTTAAAACAGCACTGCAGAGCAAATATTCGTTAATTAAACACGGTTAGATCAGGCACACGCTTGATGGAATATGGTTGCATGATTAAAGTCATGCGTGGGAGGCACCTTGAATTTGTATACAATAGTATTATAGTATAAATTAAAAGAAGGTCCAATTTGTTAAAAATTATAACATTTATGCAAAAATATATTATCGAACATTATAAAATTATAATATAGAAGTATGTATAGGTACTGCTATAATAATGCACAATTATAATAATTGTACTATAGTAAAATTTAACAAAACAATTTTGATGTTATATTTAAACATTTCATTAGATATTAAATGTAAACACATATTATGTACCAACTCAAATAACTATAAAGATTACCTTTATGTATTTAGTTTTTACCATACAAACAAATAAATTGAACCGTGTTCAAGAAATTGTCATTGCACAAAATTACCGTCGTAGCATTCCAAACATTTATGCAATTGTTCAAATAATAATATTTTTTCAAATTATTTTCAATAACTTGAAATAAATCGATTATTTATGGTCCTTTAATTTTGTTTTTTAAGTTTTTTTATTAATTAAAGTTTTACTGACGTAAGTCATCCTAACTTATTGTTATTGAGTTCCATTTTTTTTTTTACGGTCCTTTAATACAATATCGTGTACATTTTCAACATTAATGCAAATTTATTTTCTATCATACATAGAAAAATAGAATCATATCCATTGGAAATGTGTCCTAAAATATTTTATTTTTGTACTTGAAAAAATTGCGTTATATCAGCACTTGCCATTTTTCGAAAAAAAAAAATAAATATTTTTGGTCGTTGAGCATAATGTATACTAATTATATGGCCCAGTGCTCTGGGATTTCCATCCTACAGAGACCTGCAGGCAATTGGGAAAAGTTCGGGTAAAATGTCTTAAGAGTACAGATTTTTACTTAAAATTGAACTTCTGCGGCATGACCATAATATGACCCCATCCTTCGTAAACTCAATTTAGTCAGTTGCTATGACCGCAGACTATCGGCTAATATTGTCTTTCGGCTGAAACTTCTCCTAACCTAACCTTCTCTCCTGGCATAGTGTATTGTCCATTAATATACTTTCCAAACTTAATAATTAATATTTATTTTAATAATATATTATTCCATCTCGGATTACCAGTTTAACTAAAATGTTTTAACGTCCTTTCTGCTCTACTTGGACTACTAATAATATCACAAACTTCATGAACCTCTATATGAAAAACCTCTTCTTTTTTTAAATTGCCAATACCGAACCTTCTTTCTTTTTGTTTTTAAAATTATCGTCTTTTGTATTTAATTTAACCTGCATTTTACACTGTATGTAGGTCCCTAGTCTAAGAGCCTTAATTTTTTATGTAAAATTGTTTATTATTGGACATAGTAAAATAACTCTGCAGTAAGATTATACTACATGGTATAGGTATTCGTATGAGTCGTGGGCGCGAAACTGTTTGTCGTGTACACAAATAATTAAATAAATAAATAAATCAAATCATGTTTGTGACTAACGAACGTTTGATGATGGTGTCCTCAGATACCGAGATAAAGTGGCTGGACGCGGCTAGGAAGTGCTGTGACGTGGCCAGGTCGGACGGCTGCCAACTGTCCTGTTTGGACCCGAACTCTGGGTCCCGGTCGGTGCACAAGAACTGCCAAGACGAAACGGATTTCTTCAATTGCCTGCAACACCAACAGGTAAGCCACAAATAGTGTTACTACAATACTGAACATTATAATCACTAGCGCCACCTCGTATACGTATTTTTCAACCCGATGCGCATTGTGTTGCAACCAATAATGTCTCGGAACACACACACACACGTTATAGTGTACGGATATTATATTATACGATCCGTGATAAAAAAAAATGTATTGTGATATAACATGTTTGGAGAAAATTGGTCCATTTTATGGTAATGATTAATGATGGTTTTAAGTACCCGTGATAAATATTGATAGGTATATAAATATGTTTTATATATTTTACATAATTATTTTGATGTACGCAGAACTGCAGGTATCATTATATTAAGCATTACTATACGAACAGTTAAGTAAACGTCGTTGTCTTAAGTTTTTTATTGTAAAACAAAAGATTGATTTCCCTTATTATGATATTACCAATATTATATGCGATTTATTGATTGACATTGAAATTATACAATATGTATTTGTTTTCAAACGAGCTAATATGTTCGTGATAGACTAAATTAATTCTTCTTAACTAGTTCATATAAATTATAAAAGTGTTATAAATAGGGCCGCACATGTAATGCACTAATTTATTTTATTTACGATATGCCATGCGCACTTAAGCATTATTAAATACCATGCATGATTCGGTTAAAAAAGTAAATACTCTAAAATACTCAAAAATACTAGCTTTAAAATATTCATAAAAAATATATGCGACACCAAGCAAAATTAGTTTATTTTAAACACATCAAATTGACAACTCTGCCAGTTATAACTTATAAGACGTAACTACCTACATAAACGTTAACATTTTGAAAGCATTGTTATAAATTACAATATTAAATATGATTAAATAACGACTCATATAAAGTGTACAAAAAAAAAATATTGTTTACTCTATTTACACGTCATATCATACGTATTGTAGTTTTAATTATCAAATTCTATCTATAATTATTGTTGTTTTAATTTTAATAGTTAGATAATAGTAGATTCCTAATATTATGGAACCTTCTGCGGTGAGACTCTATATAGACAGTCTTTCAGCATAACTGTAGACGTATTAATTATTAGAAGTTCAATGCCGAAGGTTCGATAAGACATCATCGCGAATATCATCATCATCATCATCATTATATATACCTACGCTAATACGGGGTTGGTTCAGTATCGCGAGTTTTAATTTATGTCAATTAAAAAGGACTTTAGACGAGAAGATATTTCACGCGTTCGAAAGCGATATTCGTCGCCGACGATCTTCAGATTACCACCATGGTCGAAAAATAAAATATATCACTGCGTCTGCCCGTCGACCTGTTGGTACTGTTTTTTTTTTTTTATGTGCCTCACGAGTTTTTTTTTCCTGCCATAATCAACTACGTTCGGCAATGATGTCGTGTTCGACGGCTGTTTATCGTTTTCGCCGTGCAAACATATAATAAACACCGAAGTGTCCCTATCGTTTCATATACATACTGCAGAATAGTTTTAGACCGCATCAATTCGGTCAAACATTATATTATATTTATTATATATTTCTTTTGGATTTCTCAGACGGAAAAACTGTTTTTGATTCTCGGCTAATGCGTTATATTTTATAATATCGATGAGCGTTTTTCTATCTTTCGTAGCACTTTTAAAAGTCTTACGTCAAGACTTTATATGTGCACGTAGATAAGGTGCACGTGGTGATTATACGTCGTTGTGTCTTGTGTACCACTATAGTGTTGGTACAAAAACAAAAATAGATCGAAAGCTCTCTGGCGTTTAAATTTGTCAAATCACGATTTAGATTTTGTTTATCATGAATACTCGCCGTAAACAATACATAAACTGTAACGTAAAATTTGTAAAATTAGTTTTAAAATTAAAAACTGATTAAATGATGGTCTTGCATTATTCGACCCTTTGTACATATTACATTTTAATAAGATTCACAAATCCTATATTTTAGAATAAATTAACTCTACTATTTATATAAATAATACAATACGAGAGCGAATTATAGTCGTGTAAAAGTAAATGTTTTCACATTCCTTAAAATTTATGTCAAAACAACCTTAACGATTTAACGGGATTTTTATTTCGGTACATGGCGTAGCAGTGCGTCTCAATAATCACACATGGTTCATTACGTCGACGGAGAAATATAATTATACAGAGTGACCAAAATGTAAATCCCGTGAAAAAATATTCTATTCGTTATTAATTGTCATTAAAAAGCAAACTTACCTGCTGAATGCTGATATATGCTTTTATTTTTACACCTTACGTCCGAGTCTCGTCCGATCGATAAACTAAGTAATTATATTTTTCCATCAAAATATGACGAATTCCTCAATTAAGTACTTAATTGATTTAATTTAACTAGTTGAAACACTGACAAGCGAACAATGATATAAATCAAATTCCTAGCTTCACTGGTATAATATAATATGCAGCAAAGTATAGGTCCCCGAGCAACATTCCAATTTCTTTAACAGCTGCAAGTTTTCCAGAAAATCGTACTTGGATCATTTTATAAAAACAACTACTACATAATATTATGATAGCAGATAGTACGGATTTGAACCTATTCAACGAAACGTATTATAAGTACCAACGAAATGACGGTTTCTGGTCGCGGCAGGATGTCTCACCACGTTTTCCTCCCCCCTGGAACCTATTTATTAAAACTTATGTAAAAATTTTGAAAATCAATATGAACGAATCATATTCATTAAATCGGAATCTGAAAATGACAATTAACTTACATTTTTTTTCAGTTGAGACACAAAAATAAATATTTTAAATCTTACCAATAACCGTCGATCACTATTATAATACACCAGTGTATAGGTACCAAAAAAAGTCACCGAGGACAAGACTCCCAAGGTGATTCCTTTATAGAAATTTGGAAAACACTTATTTTCGATTTAAGCGTTAAAGTTTTGAAAATATTTTTTTACAAGTTGAAATTTAAATTTTTTTAAAAGTTTTTTATCGTTACCATTTTTTAAAAAGTTGTTTACTCTTTTAAATGACAGCATACATTTTTAATTTCATATTCAGAAATTGGAATACGAAAATTTGGTCCACTGGGCCTCTCGCATCAAAACTTTAATCAGATACTTATAAAGTTGTAGCTAATCAACTAATCGTTTGAAATTCAATTGTTATACATCTCGGACAAATAGTATTCTGCTTGGTAATATTCAATTGAAACTGCACGCCGCCGTTACATAAAGTAAAAACTCGTGTGACTGTTATAATAATCACCCTGTACGTGTATAGAACGTGGGCGTCTATACGTGGGTATTTGTCAAACTCTCGGTGTATTAAATAATATATATATATATCTCGTACATATTATTTATGCTCGTCGTGTGTTTTGTAGGTCAAAGATACGTGTTGCGGTGACAAAACGGACGCCGTACAGTGTCAAATCGCGTGCGAAAAATTCCTGGCCAACACGCCGTCCATCAACCGACACGCGGCCAACCAGGAAATCCTCGACCTGTGCTCGGCCGACCGACGGGACACTCGTTCCGCCACCACCGCCACCACATCGGTCGAGCTGCACCGCCGGTGTACCCGAAATACGACTGCCAGACGACCGTCATCAGACGGACACAAATGTAAGTCCGGTGTAGACCATAATATGATACCCACACCATGATAAAGGCATCCGGAACGGGGCCGGAGATGATCGAGCATTTGCTCTCCCCCCCCTCTCCGTGGCTTTTTAAAATCACATATAAAACGTATAGAAATACTTTTCGTTCATTGGGAACTATTTTAATATGTGCTGCAGTATCGATTTGACAATTTCTATCGTTTTTCGTTTTACTTCAGTTGAAATATATGATAATATACAAACACAACGAATTACAATATGATTACAGTACGATTTTTCACTTCTTAATTCCGCACATATTTTTGATGTAAACACAAAAATCTGAAGATAGATTCAACTAATGCATAAAAGCCGACGTAAATCCAATATCATCACTGCTGTTGGTATTCGTCTTTAATTAAGTTCAGAGTTGAGAAAGCAAATCATAAAAGTAATCATTATAATTTATTGTGTCCATAAGTATTTGATTTTAAAATTTGTTTTTAAAAACTGTACATTCCATATTTCTACTAGGTACCTATTTACAATAGTAATATGTATAATCTGTAACCAATGGCAACCATTTAAATAAACTAAAAATATTTAATTTTCGTGAGCCAAAACTCAATTTATGTGTGAGCCACTCTAGAGCAACCTATAGGGTTGACAAAAATATACCGTAAACACTTTACAAAATATCTTAAGGAGGCAGCAGGTGTGCGGGATCAGCTAGTATATTATTATATAGTATAAAGTATATTATTAAATGCCCCTCCTATAAAACGTTAAAATATAACGCTAACATTGTTTTAAATAAGTTTGAATTTCTATATAGACAAAATTAAAATTGAAAAATTGATGGATGGTAGTATCAATATAAATTCAAATATACGAGTATTGGTCACAAAAATGTCAAAAAATAAAAGCTAGGTATCTACAAAAAAAAAAAACACAAATAAAAGTCTTCTTCTCGCGATGTTCTATAAAATTAGTATAAAGATTAAAGGTGCTTCCTAATCAGTGTTGGGAATAGATAACTAATAATTTATCTAGATAAAGATAAAGATGACTGTAATAATTTTTATCTAGATACAGATAAAGATAATTATACTAAATTTTATCTAGATAAAGATAAAAATTAGTACATTTTTATCTAGATAAATATGAGATAATTGGTGTATTTATCTTTATCTATAAGATTATTTTTCGTGGTTTCTTCAACTTTAGACATTATTGAAGCATGTTTATACTAAAATATTTACAAAATATTAATATTGTAGTAAATATAACTTGTAAATTGTAATTAGAATTTAAAAATAAATAGCTGGTCCTAAAATTATACAAACTTTATAATGACTAAAGAAATTACCACTTGAATTAATACTCCCATTTACAACTTTGGAGCAATTTTGGCATAATGCGGATAATTTATTTCCTTCTAAGAAAATTATTTTAAAAAAGGTGGGAAAGTGGGTGTCACTCTGTTGTACAGTAGGTTACAAGTGGGTCACTGTATAATGGATGGTATTGTATTTGAATTCAATGATATTATATCATTGTCTAAGAAAAACGATTCTGAGCGGAGACGGTATGTCTTTCTAGGTATAAGACATATTATATACTTATCCATGGTATTAAAAAAAATTGACCTATAATGAATTCCAAATTAATCATATCACAATATCCATTAGGTACTTATAACGCGTTATACACCAACAACAAACCCTGATGATATTATGGATATATAGTAATTAGTAGTATACTTTAGATGTTTAAAGTACCCATGAATAATATTATACAATCACAACAAAATAACTAAAATAGTTATTCTAGGTTTTTTATTATGTAATTTCGTCCAAATTTGAATTTAAAATGTCTGTAAAAACTAACTGTGTTCATAAATTTTTTCGATTTTTTGGTTACAGTATGAACTATTTATGAAAACCTTTGTTTTAAATTTGTAATCCTTTTATCTTTAGCTATAAAAACTGAACATTTTATAATTTATTAATTACAATGATTGTAAATTTTCGATTAATTTTGATAAATGTTGTCAAAATTCGATCTTTAAATTCTTATAAAAAAAAATTGTGCCTATGTATTTTTAATATTTTTCAATTGCTATTGTAACAATATATCAGGAGCCTTGTATTAAATTTTTACACTTTTTGGCCCAACAGATAAAACTTGATTGATATTAATAGAAAAAAAAAATAAAAAAAATTGAAAGCTATAAATGTCCGTAAACAGCTCAAAAAGAGTCAAAATATTTTCAAAATTGTATGGTGTATAGGAAATACTAATATAAACATTCAGTGAAATTTTCATGTATCTACAGTTATTCGTTTTTGAATTACAACAAAATAAAGAAATCGCTACATGAGAAATCGAGTGAATATCCAATGTTGTAAAAATTTGAATTTCAAACGCTCATAAAAATTTAATTTAACTTTCTTATAGACCTTGTATATACGTTTATTTGTTTTAGAGTTACACCAAAAACCAAAATCGATTTTTTGGAAATCCGAGTTTGCGTAAAAATTCCCGTTTTTCCTTAATTTTTATGTTGTTTTTCCCGGAGCTTGTGAAAACTACTAGGAAGTTTTTACTTTTGACCCCCCCCAAAGTACCAACTAGATTCAATTTCCTATCAGAAAAGCTACTGTTGAAGAAAATCCAAGCACTTTTACTGTCCTAAAACGTGATGACAGACACACAAAAAAAAAAAATAAAAAAAAAACACACATCATTGTAAAATCAATAATGTATTGATTCACTCAGAATCTAAAATCCATCAAATAAATATTTCAGTTTAGCAGTATTTATCAGGTGGTTGGTTGATTCAGTTGTTGGAGTACTTGATTCATCTTTTTTTAGGATCTTGGACGGGCCATCATTTGAAACTTGGACAAACCGTTTCATAAATAAAATAATTAAATGAAAAAAATAAAAAATAATAATCGTAACTGTATGCAGTTCTACAATAAATTTTACCGACGACGAAACACAGGTCACAACTCACACGATACACACTGAGAAGTGAGAAAAATAGTCAATAACAGTCACAAAATATATACTTGTCAATTTTTGTATACTGTTTATTTTATTGCGCCTACAGCAGAGGACAGAGGTCGTACAGATCGGTTAAGCGATAACTGAAATACCAGGAATTCTAATAGGGTTTTATAAATATTTTAAATTGTTATAAATTAGGTATAATGATATTATATTATTATTTATTATGCTTGTGACTTGTGAGTCCAATATCCATGAATGTTGGTTTATTTTTTTCGGCTTAAAACAATAATTATTTTTCATATTTTATACACAATTCTATGAAAAGGGTATCAGCTAATGAGACCATCATCATTGGTGGGTGGCCGGTGGGTAGCAGGGATAGATAATTTTTCTTTTGCTATTATTAGTTGTTCTTACAATCATTGTTTACGATGTAAAACTCCTGACTAACAATGAATATTAATAAATATTAAAATCATGGTATTATAATACGTATTACTAAACGTGTTTTCTATGTACTAGTTGAAAAAAAAAATATTTTAAATTTTCAAATTTTTTTTAGTTCATTTAAATAAATTATCTAGATAAGTACTCATAGATAACTAGAATTTTATCTAGATGAAGATAAAGATAACTGAGTAGAAATTTATCTAGATAAGATAAAAGATAAATAATTTTTATCTAGATAAGTTATCTAGATAAATTTATCTAGATATTTCCCAACACTGTTCCTAATGCGTCAATTTTAGAAACATTGGTGAAAAGGTGAAACATTTATTTTTGGAGAGCTGGTAAAGGTAGATTTTACCCGTTATCCAGTTACCATAACTGAATAATACCTAATAAGAACGGCTTTTCTTTTTTTTTTGCCTCGAAGACTTGCACTGTTGCAAGTTGGCCTCGGACACGCAATGCGAACAAGCCTGTCAGGACAGCCTGCGCAGAAAATTCGACTCAGACGTAGAGGCAGTCGACAGTTTGGAGGGCAGAGGATGCGGATCACCATCGTTGGATGTGAGTACTCACATAATAATAATATATAATTTATTACACATTATATCTACCCCGTATACCAGCAAATCCGATCCAGATTCATGATAGATTTATATACAAAATAATTCGTTTTAGATTATAAGCGAACCAATGAATGTACCTATTGATTTTACAATAATGTGAAACTATGAAGACACTTAAAAAAAAAAAAAAAACGATTGAAAAAATGTTTCAATTTTCAACTTCAGTATCTTTTTTAATAGGAAAGTAAATCTAGTTGGTACATGGGAGTGGTAGGGGGAGAAGTAAAAATTCCCGGAACTTGTCTTAATAACTAGGGAAAATATTTCGGGAAAACCCAAAATTTTTAGGCAAAAATAGTTTTTGGCTAAATCGATTTTCTTATTGAGTTGCAATTCAAAAACAAACAGCCATAGATACGTGGAATTTTCACCAAATGTTTATATAATCATTTTCTATACATGTATTGTTCACTACTATTCATAATATTTGGTTTTTTTGGGAACAATTCATGTAATTTTCAAGAGGTATATATTATGTTACTTTTTTGTCTTATCTTCTGATAAACAGTATAATTGAATAAGTATTGTATAGTAGGTACCTATTGCAATATTACATGTAATAGTAATGAATAAAATTAAAAGTGTGTATAAAATATTTTTTTAGTACATTTGTATGTGTGGCCACATTTTCATGGTAAACTATTTTATTTAACCAATATATTTGGTCCAGTTAAATAATTTAAGTTTAATACACCTGATCTAGATTCTAGATACATATATTATATAGGTATGCGAATACGACACATTTATTTCAACTTTGTAATGTAGACTGCTATCGTGGAAAATCTGATAGTTATAATTTAAGCCATAATTAAAATTACTGTATATGCATAATTTTAATGACCATATTAAATTTCAAAGACGGTTATCAAATAGTAACAAAATGCTATGGTTGATAATTTGATATTGTACCCAAATTGCATAGTTTTTGTGAAATTGACAGTCATAACTAATTAACATAATAGTTGATTATTATTCACTTCATTTCCACGATAGTCATTGATTCAGTGTAAGATAATATGATATCTTAAAAAATGTATATTCACAAGCGATACACGTTAATGTATTCTTATAATTTTAATCACATCATTCATATTCATATATGGTACCTACACTAGTTGTGAAACATGTTTTTTAATTTTTAAATTAAATACCTAATCTTGTAAATTTTTTTTACAAAATACCCACGCTAACTATCGTAACATAATAACTGTAAATACATCAATATTATAGTTTTAGAATAAAATTAATTGACATTTGAACAAGGATAAAATATCATTATTATCACATTTACATTAATCTTATATACTAAGTAGGTAATTAAGCCATAAAATATTCTTAATAGTAACTATATTACCATTTGGGACATTATATTTAAGTGCCTACATGTATCATTACATACACATAACTGATTTTCTCATAACACTAAATGTGATATTATTATAGGCACCTATAACGTTCATTCACACGTCAAAAATGTAAAAACCAAATAAAAAATGTAACTGTATGTTATGACGAAAACCAAATCGATCATTCTCTAGTACTTAGAAATAATCAATCATATACACATTTTAGGTAAAGGTAATATTTGACATGTCAGATTTAATCGATTATTCCATTTTAGGACCGGTTTTGGCAATGTTTCTTGCAAAGCGAACGGGCAGAGCAGAAAGATACGTCGGCGCCGGCACCGATGTCACAAATAGAGAAACTCGGCATGGACAGCGTGAAACTGCATTGTTGTGATAAGGCCACTATAGCGGGATGCCGCAAGCTTTGTTTGAAGACGTTCACTAACGAATGGTCTTCGTCGTGGAACGACTTCAACTCCGAATGTTTGTCGCATCCCAACGAAGATCAGCTGCTCAAGTGTTTGGACGACGGTAAGCAACGTTATATTGCACTGTAATTTCCACAGTTTATTTTATTGTATATTATATTATTATGTACCAAATAGAATTATTATTGTACAGAAACGTCTGGAAAAATGTATTAGACGACACATAGTAACGCTACTTAAATCCTGATGATATTATTACACGATGATTTATGACTTTCAAGTCACCCAGATGCTTGTTGTACGAGTTATATTTGAATATTTAAATTTAAATCTCAAGCCATAGCCAGTATACCGTGTCGGCCTGAACGTACGAAATTGGATATTAAAAATGAAAATAACATGTCCGGGACTAATAGGGTTGTCTAGATCCCTACAATTTTCACAGCTATTAAAAACCATTTTTAATGGTGGACAAATCGAGATTCCCTTGGAATTTATAGATTTACAATCTACATAATATTATTATGAAGGGGCCAAAACTGCAATATAACGTTATTCAATTTTTTTCGGACAAGTGGGATTTCTCGAACAACTGATTAATATATTGTGATTATTATATCATATAATGAGGCCATGGGGGTTTTGTAAAATACTTTTTTTTTCTCCAGACGTCCGTTGTTATGATCATCTGTTATTATGATCTATTCTTCCTGTTCCCATGAACGCCGTTATATAAGTGATTTCAACTGTATCTATACATAATATAAATTATCATATTATCTGCAAACGATTTGCACGACCCTGCACTAGCACAGGACGCTTAAAAAACAGTTTTGCTCTTTGTCTCTGAAAACAGTCGAAGAACCGTGCGATCTGGGCTGCGACGGACTGAACTACTGTACGGTGTTCAACAACAGGCCTACTGAGCTGTTCCGGAGTTGTTCGCCGCAGACGGACGACGCGGCCCACTACGACATGACGCTGTGGCGTCAGCGTGGCACCATCACGCTGTTCAATTACGAGCTGCCGCTGAAGAACATCACAAAGTGCCTGCCCGATAGCTGGAAGGCCGTGGCCTGCATCCTGCAGATACGGCCGTGCACCAGGCAATCTCACGTCAACAAAATTTGCAGGCAAGTAGAATTTTACACCGACCGCCTTGCAGTCGATTGTAAGGCATAACTATGCATAGGTTATGGGAAGGAGAGGGGGTGAACAGGGAACCGTTGCCCTGTGTGGTTGATTTTTTTTTTTTAATGTTTATTGGGAAACAATTAAAACATAAACAATATTATCTTCATTTCCTGCAATTTATATTTACTTAATTTGTTACAAATTTTGTAATTCGTTATACCAGTTAAATCGCTGTATTAAAGATTTACGAAAGTGATCTATAACCTCAATTATCAATCATGATAATATATAATTAAAGAATTTTCTTAGCCACAATTCAGGTAGAACTTCTGAATTTATAACATTTACTCAATTGCTTATCAAAATTGTCTTTAAAACTAATTAATTTTTTTCCCCTAGGCGACAAATTCTATAATAATAACTGCAAACTATAATATATTTTTAGGGGGAAACCATACATTATACATAATATGTACCGTTCTTTAGACCATCAGAATATTTATGATATTAAAATACATTTTTGCCCCGGAGGTCAATATTATTGTTATAACAATAACCTAACCTAACCTAACCTATAGGTGGTCAATTAAAGGCTTTTAAATTTAAACTAACGAAAATAAAGTAAACAAAACTGTTGAACGTAAATTTACGATCGTGTACACTTCTAAAACGCTAAAACACGTATAGACAACAAATGCTAAGATCCTCTTAATTATTATTTTCGATTTGTCGTCAATTGTAAGCCGATAGACGATATTCATGCAGGTTGAGGAAGAAACATTTACTTGATAAAAATTAGTATCAAATTTATAAAACTTTACCATCCGGGGCATTTCGTATGTTTTTATTATTATTAAAATGTTGTAAAGCTATTATGAGCATTTTAAAGATGTAATATTGGATATTATATAGTTACAGACTTTACAGTTATAACTCGCATACACTAACAAAATACCAATAAAAGCCTAAGCGATGCCCTGGATAATATATATTTTTTTAACATTGTAAGATAGGCCCAATTCACTGTAACCCCCTCGACAACACAAAATTGATTCTTCTCAACGTTTCGTGTTGTTTTTGCGTTTTTCTTAACGGGCTTCGCTAACGAATGTTTGAGTTTAACAAGACTACCGAGGGTTATGTCTTCCAACCGTCGATATCACGTAGGATCTACGAATATTTAGTTTATAAATATAACGTTAGCTTATAGTTTCGTTTTTGCCATTCCGTCGATGTTCTGCGATAGCTGCGTGTGCGGTGTCGTGTTCGTAAGTCGGCGGTCGGACTTCAAACGATCGGAACGGAAAACCAAAAAAATTATAACCCAACAGTTGTTACCGACGCGGTTTTAATGTCTGCATCCGAATGGTACACATATTATAATATTATGCACATAGTTGTATCCGATTTATATAAGGCGCGTTTTGCCGTCGATGCAGACTAAAAATCTGTCATCTATATTCTATATACTTAATAATAATATATCATATGCTATTTTAAACTATCGACGCGGTCGTATTCCTCAAACGATTTCAAACTTATGCATAAGTATATATACATATATTATCTACGCACAATAATCACGTCCGTGGCTATCCGCCAGCCACGATGTTTTATTGCAAACACGCGCTTTTATATCGACGGAAAACGCTAAACAATTCGTATCGATCGGCCACTGCTCGTGTGTCTCGTATACTATATATGCAATAAAGCTGTTGGCAAGCACGACCGACGTCTGTGTCGTTCCCCACACGGAGGTCTTGATTTATTGTTATTATTTCGTCGGATCACGCGCTATATATATATACGTCGGCCGAGCTACATAATACGACTACAATATTAGACGCATTTGTGTTCGCCGAATACTAAACAACGCGTCACTGTAGCCAGTTTAGTTTATCGAAATATTTGTCGGTATATTGTCACGTCTCAAGAATCGATCACCGCCCGCGTGGTTATTCCCTCTCGCCGAGCTCCTAAACATTGACCTAATATAATACTGACACAGTCCATACTTATATAGTTATATGTAATAATATATCCCGGGGGGAAAATGTATATTTACGAAAATGTTACCCTATCGGCCTAACTTAACTTCCCAGTCAAATTATAGATAACGAAATATCAAATCATCGGCTTCTGCCATTTTTACTATATCTAGTAGATATTATCTACTCTAACGGTATTACCATGTTCTGCATATACCAGTGACGGATTGGACAGGCCTCTGTCCTGTAGTGGAGGTCAAATTTATATGAAAGCCCAAACGATTAAAAAATTAGCACTCGCAATAATAATTTCACAAATCAGTCACTCAAATTACATATTTTATCATCGACTTTCATTTCAATACCTATAGGTAACTGTAATATATTTATGTGTATATTTATATTTATATGTAAGCAGACAAAATATCTGGAAGAGCGGTAGCAGGTGTCATAAGTAAAATATTGTAAATATTCGTGTAGGTCATCTATGTATGGACGATGCGTCTGTAATATGATACATATTATGTCATATATTTTATGTTTAACCCCCCCCCCCCCACCCAACACACAACAATGTATACCTGCACACGCGTGGTCATAACAAATCACATATAATATAACCTCTCGTTTTTGTGCTCAAAACAGGGACGACTGCCTAGAGCTATTGAGCACGTGCCTGGACTGGACGAACTCGGCGCCAGGGCTGTCGGCGAACGCCCTTTGCGCACGGTTGTCACCCATCTCCGGGCCTTGCGTGCCGCTCGGAGCTTTCGCGGAACTCGAGGCACCCCGTCCGGCGCCGCCCCGACTACAGACGGACCTACAGCACGCGGCGGTAGAAGACTTACCGGAAGTGACCACCCCGTGCAAGCGGAACCCCTGCGCACCGGGCTCGGTGTGCCTGGTCAACCGCGGTTGCAGGATCGGCCGCGGGTGCAAGCCGTACCGATGCGTGGCCGGGTGCAAGGCGGGCGAGGTGTCGCACTTCCTCGTGCCGGAAGACTCGTACGCCCGCATACCGACGTTCAACGGGCAAAAGGGATGCGTCAAGATCTGCTTGTGCACCAAGAGAGGCATCGAAAAGTGCCAGCAGGTGCCTTGCTCGCAGATACAGTCCTGTTGGCTGGTCGGCAAACCGATCGGTGAGATATTTTATTTATATACAGCCTATACGAGTTACTGGGTATATTCAGTTGGGTGACGATAGTGTTACTCTAAAACATGGACTCGAGATTTTTTAATTGTTATTTTGTGTCAATCGAGTACCTATATATATATTATATTTGTTTTAAGAATCGACGTGAAACCTAAGCAAATTCCCAGACAGCATTTGGAAACGATAATGTTTTAGATGCATTTTAAACCCTGTTTCAACGACGACAATGTTTTAAAAATAATTTCAAAAATATATTTTTTAAATTCCGTCTGAAGACTGAGCAGATATACCTACTTATTATTTTTTTTTCGTATTATACCAAATGGATATTCCGCTATAGCGAAAATTCATATGTGCATTAGAGGGTCGCTAGGGAGGCTTGGGCCTTCACCTCAGAATAAAAAAAAAAATCAGACTATTCCTTATAAGTTATTCTTATAGCACTTTACAAACAACGAAGATACATAATATTATGCACAATTTTTTTTATAGACATATAAATTTAAAAATTAACCTTAATTAGATATTTAAACGAAAAATAACAATTCTAGTTATTATTCGTAGGTTACAGCCTTACAGTTGTATGTCACTTAACATAAGCAATACTTTTTTCAAAATATTAAGACTAATTTCAAGCTAATATATTACGATCTACGATTCAATTTTATATTAAAATTGTCTATGTGTCTATTATACAGTATTAAGTCAGCTGATATTTACTTTAATATTTAAGTCTCAAAACACGGTTACAATAATCGGGGGAGTTTAAATATTTAGAATAAGAAGACTTTTTTTTTGGAAAAATATTATGCATTACATTGTTTGAGCAAATGACCTAAAAAGGCTTTCATTAAAATATCGAAATCAACCAATTAAATCGGACAGCCGGTTGATTATTGAATACTTCCGTTCCGGGGACGCCATCTCTCGGTATAGGCGTATATTATACCTAATCATAATTTGAGATATACTGGTTACCCATCGCTCTGTAAAAAAGGCTTTCAAATTGATTTACAAAACGACTAGGTATATAAAATAGCTGTAAAAATTACTATACATATATGTAAACTTTTAGAACTAATTTTATACCATTTTATACTTATATTATTATATAAGATTTCGGTTCATTATGATTTAATATGATATTACCGTTTAGAGTGCTACAGATTATTTTTACTAGTCGTTAAATATGACACCACTCACCAGGCCACCTTACAGAAGTCAGCGGATAACCAGCATATAATAGCGGTTACAATAATATTATGTATTTGAATGATTCAGCAACGGTCGTTTGTTCTGTGTTACAGACCACGGATCCACGTTCGAGATGGACTGCAACACGTGCAACTGCTTCGCCGGCGAGATCACTTGCACGAAGAAACACTGCGAGCCCGCGACGGTAAACGCCGTGTCCCGGTACAGGCACACCGGACTGCCGTGCAACTGTGCCCCACACCACGTGCCCGTCTGTGGTTCCAATGGCAACACGTACCCCAACTCGTGTTTGGCCAAGTAAGTACACCCGTGTAACCCTCGCTTGGTGCGGTATATGATTTACATACCGCCACTCGTGTAAATGCGCGTATAATTTGATGTGTCAATTCCGCGTTTTCCAGGTGTGCCGGCCTGTCAGATGTGGACCTCAAGTTCGGCACTTGCTGGAACGACGATCCGTGCGCCGGCGACAACGCTTGTCGTTCGGACGAGAGGTGCGTGCCCGCCCGTCAGGTGTGCTTGTCCATGTTGAAGAAGTCTTGCGTCCAATACAAATGTGGTAAGCTATATGCTCGCAACGTGTATAGGTCATATAAAGGCTGTCTGCCTGTCTCAAAAGACACAAAAATACGATGCCTATTAAAACGCTTTTATGAATTTACGACAAGGCATGAAATTTGTTTTTTTCCATCCCCGAATACCATAAGGTTTTCCCAAAATCAAAACCGAAAAATAAAAATAAATTCAAAACTAAAGCCAATAAAATTAATAGTATAATACGACCTCATATTAATAATACTCAAAATACTCACGTGTACCTATACAGTTTCAGAGAAGACATCGTGTGACGACGCACCTAAAAGCGTTGTGTGCGACACTGACGACGGGGAACACTCAAACCTGTGCCACCTGTTGCGGTCCGGCAAAACGCTTGCATACAGCGGCCCGTGCCTGGTAAGTCCTCGCGGATGACACCACCGACCCGATGCTCGGTCATTTCGCAAACCTTTTGTGTGACTAAAACGAACCCTTGACCTATAGCAAACCTGAAATTTTGTTTCCGGCTTATAGGTGGGATGCAACTCGACGGGACGCGTATGCGGCGTGGACGGCAACACTTATCCGTCTGAGTGTGTGGCCTTTGCGGAATCAACGAGCGTCGACTACCCGGGACCGTGTGCATCTTCCGGGTTCATCGGGCATAACGGTCGGCCCTACTGCGCGGCTAAGGGTGCGGTAGACTGTCCGAAACTGCCTCAGCAAGGATGTCTGGGCATCACGCCACCGGGGGCCTGCTGTCCCAAGTGCGCCGGAGCTCTGCAAATACTCTTCAGGTATGTGCATCCCGTAAACATATTAATAACCAAATTGTTTCATAACATTTTCGCAATGTGGAACTTCCTGACCTACTTCTCCACTTATTGATAAAAGTGGATAAAAAGTAAGAAAAAATTATAATTTGAAAAAAATAACGGAAAATGGATTAATTTTTACGAAACTCCTGTTTTCAATCAAATCGATTTTTTTTTTATCATACCTAATGGAGACAAAAATCAACATAATATAGACATGAAATCTTCACTAAATACTCATAGTACATAGAAATACAATCATTTTCAAAAGCAAAAATCTTTTTCACTATTTCAGCTATTTATGGATAATTTAAGATTTTTTTTCGTCTTGTCTTGCCGAAGTTACACGCTCATCAGCTACGGCTTTAACTATACAGCAGAACGAGTTTCCCGGTTTTTTTTATTTTTAAACTTTAAAATATTGCTTGTTCGTATAAAAATATTTACAATAGGTATTTCATGAGTATTTTTAACAATTTGAAAGTATTCTGCATTTCAGGTATTAAAAATTAAAGTTGTAAAAACGTTTTTTTTCCTCCAAATACCCAAAAATCCACAGTAGTGTTCACTGCAGTCTCGAATAGATAGTGTAATATGGCATCATATACCTAACATGATAAAATAATAAGCGTGTTTTAAACGGATTTCCAGTCAAAAACAAGTTGACCGAGTGATGCATACGCTGAAAAGGCCATCGGTGAACGCGTTGAACACGAAGTCTGTTCTCCGGGCTTTAGACAGACACGTGCTTGTGGCTGAGTGTGTGGTCCGTGGCCACCTGACCATGTACCAGGACCTACTGGTGCTCGTCGAGTCCACGGTCCGGAACCCGACCAGGCTCCAACTTGAGGCGTGCATCAGAGAGTCAGAGAAGCTGGCCACGCTGCTGGAGACGTCCAGTCCCCGGGTCATGATTGACCTGAGTCTCAGCACGCTCATCTCTGCCAGTCCAGTGCACGAGATGGTCACCGACGGCGATGCCAGCGATGCCGCCCCCGCCTTTGATCTTCGGGCCCACGTCGCCGCCACGATCACGTCGCTGATTCTGACACTGCTCATTCGTTAAAAAAAAAAAATTATAATCCGACTGAATTTTTTTATTGTTTATTATTTTTTTCATTTCATTTTTATTTTCGCATTTTACTTAGCTCGTACGAATGTATTATTATATTGTTTGAAAACATTTCTATAATAAGTAAAATAGTTTATGTGCATATTATAATATTATTATTATTACGGTAGGTACCTAGTAATTTTATTGTATTTAAAACGATTACAATATTATATTGTTACTATATGCGATGGCTGTGATAACAAAACATTATTCTTACGTGCCTATTTTATACATTGTTGAAATGTTGTTCTTGTATTAAATAACATTTATTTTTATTTTTATTACCTATTATTATTATTTAATTGTATTATAATCGCAAATGTAAATATCATAATATAATATGTTGTTCTGTTGCAACAGATCAAAAATATAACGTTTTGAATTAAAGAAGGTTATCCATTAAAATAGTATTACCTCAGCCGCCCTCAATCACGTATGACCAACAATAATATCTAAACATTAGTATTAGTTCAACAACTCAATTCACAACATGTGCTTCTTATTGGTTATTTCTGATTACTTTAGACCTTTATGCCAATACATTTTCGTATAAACTAGCAGTATATGCTTGACAAGTCATGCATTCTTCATATCGTATTCCATCCCTTTAAACTTGAGTTTAAAGTGTTAAATAACTGTTAGTTAATATTTAATATACAAACATTAAAAAAAAAAAAAACTACAAACTTTCAAACTATTATCAATCAATCGTTTTCCAATACATAGTCAAACGATTATTAATAATGTTTCTGACCAGAACATTTGTGGCGATTGATTCACATTAATTGTGTATGTGGTGTACCTAATAATGGTTATTATTATTATAGACTTTTAACTACTATTTTAATATTTTCATAGCATAATTACTTAAAATAATAATATATCATTACACCTTTTTAGATGTATTTTTGAATAAACCAAAAAATGAATGTTTGATTTGCATAACTACGAACAGCTAATTTTGTAATAATCAATAACCTTGTTATAATATTTATATCACTACTTTTATCAATCAAATGCTATATCACGCCTATTCTTAATCAAAACGAATACTATTAAATTATAGCATAGTTAGGTATATAAATAGACTTTAATGCCCCTGCAAAAACTATTAATTTTTCATAAAAACGACCTTAGCGACTGATAATAATTAAAATACTTCTAGTGGTTCGATTTAAAAAACTAAAGATATTTTAATTGGTCAACAAGTCTACTTTGCATCGGTCGGAGCATATTTTTTATATTTTAGATATTTTTGAATATATTCAATACTAAAAATTTATAAATTTAATAATATTTATTCTCGTCAAGAATTTGGTAAAATTAAAAAAGTGCTCCGACCGATGCAAAGTAAACTTGTTTACCAACAGAAACATCTTCACATTTTTGAAATCGAACCACTAGAAGTACCTTAAGTTTTGTCCGTGAGACGGCTATTACAAGTCCATAAATTGGTTTTAAATATTTTGATCTAGACATTAAATGACTTATGAATGTGCGTGCTTGCGACTATAAAGTAGATAAGAATTAACAATGTATTGTAAATCTTTGCTGGTCGCGGGTGGTAGGGGAGTATCATTTACTACACACACAAAGACGATCATTAATCACATGAACGAAATAATTGCTTAAACACAACTCCTTATGACACATTTGCAGGGGCCTTAAAGGGATTTTACTTTGAAAGAACTAAAACTATAATACTATTTTAGTATACACAATTCATATAAGTTTTGACAACTAAATAATAAAATTACCCCATAAAGTAAGTATTAATAGGCAATAGCTATAATACTAATTTATAAAAAGTGAATCAAATATTGCCAATTCATTTTCTACCATACAATAGTAATTTATTATTTACTAAATATAATTGAAAAACAATACAGGGTGAGCATAAAATAATTCTCAGAACTGCAAGTGCTATATTTATGAAACAATATATTAAGTTTTAGCTGATCAATTATTTTAAAAATTATATTATATATTTTATTATTTTACATACTAAAAACACATCTACACAAAGTAGGTTCAATGTGACTGTTACATTTTTCCCGAACGGTATCTATCTGGATGTTGAACTCTTCCTGAAATTGTATTATAGCAGCAGTCCCAGATGCTATTCATTGGCTGGCTGTAGTTATTCGAATTTTCATTTTCTACATTTTAGCAATCTTACAATATAAAAATACAAATTATAAATCTTTGAAACTTCAGAAATCTGCATTTTTTTTAATGGATAAGGTAGCACCCTAGCTGTTTCGTTTTGTTGCTGGTGTATGTTGGGGAATTATTGTTCGGTCTATATTATAAATTATATTTGTTTTAATAAAAATACGTCAACAAATTAAATTAATACATACATTATAAGATTTTAGATTCTGAGTGAAACGATGAATGTATTGATTTTTTTTTTTTTGTGTCTGTGTACACGATTAGTAGTCGAAATAATGCTTCGATTTTCAACTTCAGTAACTTGAAAGTGAATCTAGTTGGTACTTTTAGGAGGTAAAAATTTAAAATTCCCAATAGTTTTCACAAGCGACGAGATTAACAAAAGAAAAATTAAGGAAAAACGGGAATTTTTACACAAAATCGATTTTTCACAAAATTGAATTTAAAACAAATGACTGTAGACACTTGACATTTTCACTGGTTGTTTATATTTGCATTTTCTATACACTATAACATTTTCAAAATATTTTGATTTATTTTGAACTGTTTTCATTTTCCATTTTTTTTTAGTTTTTTTTCTAAAGATATCAATAAAATTTTATTTATTGGCTAAAAAAGCTTGAAAATTTAATAGAAGGCTTCCAGTATATTGTTACAAAGGCAGATGAAAAATATTAAAAATCCTTAGTCACAGTTTTTTTTCTAAGCATTTCATAAATTGACAAAATATGGAAAAAACACGAAAATAGCAAATTATTTTGAGTTAAGAATTCGTAAAAATGTTTTCTTTTTAAATCTAAGGTTTGAAAATGTGATACAAGATTCCTCATAAGTTTGTCTACCTTTATCAAAAACAAATTTCTATAAGAAAGTCAAATTAAATTTTTATGAGCGTTTTAAATTCAAATGTTTACAACATTGGATATTCACTCGATTTCTCATGTAGCGATTTCCTTATTTTGTTGTAATTCAAAAACGAATAACTGTAGATACATGAAAATTTCACTGAATGTTTAAATTAGCATTTTCTATACACCATAACATTTTCAAAATATTTTGATTTATTTTGAACTGTTTAGGGACATTTTCCATTTTTTTTTAGTTTTTTTTCTAAAGATATCAATTTAGTTTTATCTGTTGGGCCAATAAGTGTAAAAATGTAATACAAGACTCCTGATATATTGTTACAATATCAATTCAAAAACATTGAAAATACATAGACACAATTTTTTTTTATAAGCATTTTAAGTTGGAATTTTGACAAAATGTATCAAAATCTCGAAAATTATCAATCATTGAAATTAATAAATTATAAAATGTTCAGTTTTTATAGCTAAGAATAGCAAATTTAAAACAAAGGTTCTCATAAATAGTTCATACTGTAACCAAAAAATCTAAAAAATATATGAACACAGTTATTTTTTACAGACATTTTAAATTCAAATTTAGACGAAATTAAATATTAAAAAACCTAGAATAACTATTTTAGTTATTTTGTTGTGATTGATTAATATTATTCGTGGGTACTTGAAACTTCTAAAGTGTACAATTATATAATATCTTCATAGTATCACGGTTTTTGTTGATGTATAACGCGTTATAAGTACCTAATGGATATTGTGATATGATTAATTTGGAATTTATTATAGGTAAATTTTTTGTTTAATACCATATTTATATGTATATAATATGTCTTATACCTTGACATACCACCTATCCGCTCAGAATCGTTCTTCTTATACAATTATATTATATCATTGAATTCAAATTTAATACTATCCATAATACAGTGACAGACTTGTAACCTACTGTACAGCAGAGCTAAACCCACTTGCCCACCTTTTATTTAAGATTCATTTTTAAGATTCTGTTTTACATTTGCTGACTCATTAAAAGTAGCTAACACGATTGTCCACGGTGTACTAAATTTATTTTCGTCTTTAAAGAACTTAATGCCGATACATCTGTAAAATAATAAAAACAATAAATACTCATTAATTACTTAAATGTTATATTTATGCAGTACATTTTACATTTGACTAGCTGAATATCCCGGCTTCGCCTGTGTGCAGTTGTTTTGTTTTGACCATCATATATAGTATATAGTATATCTATATACTCTATAGGTTTGAGTGTATCTCAGTTTTATTGTACCACAGTTCATGGACAAATAAGCGTCAGTCTACCTAGCTTTGTGAAATAACTCGACCTAGATGGGCAACCACAAGTCACGGATTGGATTTTTAACATGGTTTTGATAAACCAAAATTAATGAAATTACTTTTCACCCTCTAAACATTTATGACATCTCTAAAAACAAAATTCGATTAAGTAGTTTTTGAGTAAATAAGCTACACGGCACACGCGTACATTTGGTTTTAATATAGGTATCGTTTCTTTATTCGAGGCAATAATCATGAAAATTTGATACATGCTTTTATGTGATCTGCCCGAGTAACCAATGTCAACCATTTATATTTTATATACCTACCTAAAACAAAAAAATAATAATAGTTTCTACCATTACTATTATAATCTGCAATCAATACATCCATTAGTAAGCAAAAAAAAAGTTTCCACCTTGAATCTCAAGATTCATTTTTGACCCCCTCTTTAAAATTCGAGTATCTGAAAATCCTTTTTTATTGCATATCTAGATCATTAGATAAACCACTATTTCAAGTTTCAAGTTTTGAACGTTTTGTAGTTTTTGAGTTATAGCGATAATTACTGAGTGAGTGGTATTTGACCGTATATATAATCTACAAAAAAGTACT